CTAATCCAGAGCCAGATGTATTCGAGTTTAAACGTGTAGTTTTTTAAAGAATTCAGCCCCTATGGAGTCGCAATTCGTCTCGCAGGAAAACGCTCGAAGAAACCAAGACCGTTATCCCCTTGCCGCTGGGACCGTCCTTAAGTCAACTTATATGGACGATTCTATTGACAGTGTTGAAAACGATGACGAAGGAGTGGAGCTATACCGTCAATTGAAGGAATTATGGGGAGTCGCCGGCATGCAAGCCAAGAAATGGATCTCTAATTCACCCAAAGTTATTGAGGCGATTCCATCAGAACAACGCGCCACAGAGATTATGATTAACAGCGGTCAAGACCTGATAACGAAGACACTGGGAATTTCCTGGAAAAGTACTGAAGACGTGTTTACCGTTACCACTTCTCCAGTTTCCCCGGAATTTCAGAGAACAAAGCGAAACGTCCTGCGTAAAGTAGCAACGATTTTTGACCCTCTGGGATTCGTATTCCCATACGTTATTGTGGCTAAGATTCTACCTCAGGAATTGTGGATGCGAGGTTACGACTGGCACGACGAAGTTCCAGATGAAATAGCCAAACAAATCGGGACTTGGTTCGAGCAATTGAAAAGTCTGCACGAGGTGACGATTCCTCGATGTCTGCGAAGTCCAGAGCCCGCCAAATCAAAGCACATTGTGACTTTTGTCTATGCCTCTCAACAAGCTTATACTGCAACAGCCTATATCTGTTGTGGATACGATAACGATACTACAACCAGTCGCCTGATAGCAGCAAAGAGCAAAGTGGCACCACTGAACTCGATGACAGTACCCAGACTGGAACTCATGGGTACGATTTAAGGCCTACGCTTAACACAGTCGTTGCTGACAGCCTTAGTAGTACCAATGCAAAGCGTGACGTTTCACTATGAGAGTACAGATGTTCTATGGTGGATTCCAGGACGCGGCAAGGACTTCCGACCGTTCGTAGCCAACCGAATTGGTGAAATACAGATGTTCACTGAGCCGTCACCGTGGCAGCATGTCTCTACCAAAGAGAATCCAGCCGATTTATGTACAAGAGGGGTCACGCCTTCCGAATTAGCCAAATGTTCCTTGTGGTGGAATGGTCCTGACTGGCTGACAGATGATTTCAGAAGTGGTCAAAGATGAAAGTCCCTGACAGACCTAGGAACAGCACAGAAACAGAGCAACACGTCAAAAGAGTGGAGACTAGATCCGAAACGGTTTTCCAGTTGGACACGTTTGGTTGGAGTACACGCGAGAGTGAGAAGAGTACTACAAAACATGCACAACAGAGACAATAGGAATGAAAGTATGGAGCTGTTGCCCGAAGAATTAAAGGATGCTGAAGGAAAAATGGTGCGCTTGGCACAACGCAACGCTTTTTGTGACGAGTATACAGCTTTGAGCTCAGGGAAGCCGATACCAAAGAAAAGCCAGTTGATAATGCTTAACCCGTGCATCGACGACGATGGAGTTATCCGCAGTGATGGCCGATTAAAGTTCGCAGGTTTTCGTCCATATGATACCAGATTTCCAATCATTCTACCTCGTGGAGACTGAGTGACGAAACTTATTGTGAAGCACTATCATGAGAGAGGAAACCATGCTGCTGGAGTAAACTTCACTCTTTTCCAGTTGAGTGAGAGTTTTAGGATTATCGCCGCACGCAGGGAGATTCGCGAGTGGGATCGTGAATGTAACGAATGAAAGAGAAGACGAAACAAGCCAGGTTGTCAGATTATGGCCCCTCTCCCGCAAATGAGGCTCCGTTTCAGCTTCAGACCCTTCGCCCAAACAGCCGTAGACTTTGCAGGTCCTTTCTATACTGTTCAAGGACGCGGAAAACCAAGACAGAAAAGGTGGTTTTGCCTTTTTACGTGCTTGAAAACACGAGCGGTGCATTTAGAGATGGCCTAGGGATTGGATACCGACACGTTCTTAAATGCCTTCGCCCGTTTTACCAGTCGTCGTGGAGTTCCTAAAGAAGTGACAAGCGACAGAGGCACAAATTTCGTGGGCGCAGAGGGCGAGTTAAAGAAACTAGTCCGCCAGTTAGATTGAAAACATCTTCAGAACAAGACAGTCGAACTTGGAATGACATGGAGATTCAATTCACCGGCTGCCCCACATTTTGGAGGAGCCCATGAAATAATGGTGAAAGCTGCTAAGAAAGCCACGTACGCCGTTGTTGGAGAACGGGACGTGAACGACGAGGAGTTAATCACCGTGTTCGCAGGGGTGGAGTCCCTTCTTAATTCCCGTCCGTTGACTTATCAGAGTTCACATCCACGACACGATGTCCCATTGACACCTAACCATTTTTTTCCAGGGCAAAATAGGAGGACAGTTCGCTCCTGAGGTCGTTGAAACCACTACTTTGCATCCGCATCAACGATGGCGAAAGATTCAAGACATTATTTCACGAGTGTGGAGGAGATGACTCAAGGAAGTTGTCCAGCCCTTAACAGTCGACCAAAGTGGACTTCAGAGTGCCGAGACCTAAAAGTTGAGGATGTGGTTCTTGTAATTCAGCCCGATACCCCAAGAGGACGTTGACCATTAGGACGGATTGTAGAAGTGTATCCTGGACGAGAGGGCCACACCCGTGTAGCTGAAGTTGCGTGTGATGTCATGAGACCGATTAACAAACTGGTTCCGCTTGGAATTAACTGTTAATTGCTTAGTTGGAAACACACTAGGACTACCTCCCAGTGTGGGGAGGGGGAATGTTAAGAAGACGTTAACGAACTTGTGCGCGCGCGACTCGCGTGCGCGTGCTTTGGGATTACGTAGGTTGATAATATCGTAAGCAAATCACGCGGACCTTTTAATTTTGACATGTGCGATTTTTTAGTGAGGAGTTCAAAAGTTTTTAGTTTATCGAGTAGCAGTTTTGTTTAATGGTCGTTGTCGTTTACCGTGAGTCTACAGTTTACCGTGTTGGAATTAAAGTGTTTGTTTGGATTTCCCGTTTCGCTTCCGAACATCGCCGTTAACGGCACTGCGTCTGATTCTGAAGGGTCTCGCCGCTGCTTCGCTAAGATGTCAGCAAAGAGAAGAGGCAACCGATGGTAGAGAAATCATTTCTCTTTCTTCTTCAGTTTATGCACGGAAAGGTTCCTCGTCTGTGGATAGGAAAGACTAGCTTTTTATGACAGGGGTGTGAAATTTAAGGTGGAGGGACTAGAAATTGGCTCAGAGGAAATATTATTTATCTTGACAACGGAAGTTGAAAGGTAAACAAGTGAGTCTCCCATATCAAGTGCAGTGTTCGGTCCTTTTAGAGAGGTTGTTTGTAGGCTTCGCTGTCTTATTCCTGATGACTAATAGCGAATTATAGCAGTCCAGATTATCCCGATATATTAGGACGGCCTTGACTCGCATTCCAACCAATCAGAATTCGCGTTGCGATTCGAGTGCCACGTTTCAAAACAAAGGAATACTGTATTTCCAAGAATAGCGGACAAATCGTGCTCTTTTTATCCGTCCATTATTTTTATTCCTACGGGGAAGTACAAGATTGTGACATTATAGATTTTGTTTTAATTAAAGAAGAATTACAAGTACTTTGTAGACCAAGATTTACCAACTCGGAAATACATTGCTTTGGTAAACACTCTTTGAAATGCGAAAAAACCTTTAACTGTTTCCGGTCCAGGCTTGTAATCTACGTTTGATGGAGAAAATAAAAATATAATTTACTTTTACTATCACTGCACCCACGAGGAAAATATAAATAAACAAAGTAATATAATGTACACCTCTTTAAAATAATAAACGTAAGCAGTCTTCCCTTAGCTTTATACTCTAATCGTACGGAACAACAATTAAAGCATTCCGATATCACTTTGATTGAAAAATGTCAAAACAAATCAAAGCTATCAGTTTTCTTACCATGGCTTCCATGATGGCACACACAAAATCCAACTTCTCACGTACTTTTGAAATGTTCAAAGAACCTTTGTAGTTAAACTCTCATTGAAAAGTAAGCGCGAGTCAGAAAAGAAAAGCGAGCTCGGCATTCGGGCACATAGTCTCCCTTGCAGCCCTTTCCGGCGTCGTCACGCAAGCGAAAACTCCCCCACCAACGGCTGCTCACATTCGAACAACATTCCTTTCCGGAAATTGGCCAATCAGAATTTACTTACCATATTCTGGAAAACGTTTGCGTCTCAATAATCAATCAGGATTTGGGCAAACAAAACAGCGATCATTATCCGATATTTTCTTCGGAGTTTCGATGACATCGCATTCCATCTTTAGAAACTAACGCTAACGCGCTTCCTGTGAATTCGCGGGAATAAAAATATCGCGTGTTCATTGGTTGTTTGTCAGACAATAACTTTATTTGGATTGGATAACACATTACAATGAGAAAGGAATGTTGTTCGAATGTGAGCAGCCGTTGGTTGGAGAGTTTTCGCTTGCGTGACGACGCCGGAAAGGGCTGCAAGGGAGACTATCGGGCACACCAATGCGTGCAAACTGAGGGAAACCGGGAGGCCGGCAAACCTTGGTAGAATCCAGTCTTGTTGCTATTTTAATTAAAGCTTTCACGAAGAAAAACGAATAAAGCAATATCGGCTGGGGAAAAAAGAGGAGAAACTTATCGAATTGGCTCTGCTCTACGGCAAGGCGAAGTGAAGGCTCTTCAACACAGCGACTACACTATGTGATCGATGGTTTCGCGCCATTCTTCACATTCGATGACGTCATGCCCCCAGCAGATCCCTGCTCCATTTGCGGTTTGTATTTTTGGTGGTTTCGGCGAGATAGTGGTACAGCCTACATACAAACAGTGTAGCGTTGGGTGGAATGGCTCAGCGTGATATCGCATGGCACAGCGTACACACGAATGGTGTAGCGTTACGTCGAATAGCTTTGCAGAACATCAGACGCTCCCGCTGAACATTAGATTGCTCAGCATTACATGAAATATTTCGATGTTGTGGCAAATCGTCGAGCTTGCTTGTGGCGTGACGTGAATGCTGAGCTATTTCACGCAACGCTAAACCATTTGAGTGTACGCTGTACCATTTGACATAGCGCTGAGCTATTTCACGCAACGCTACGCTGTTTGTATATACGCCGTACCATTTGACATTACGCCGTACCATTTGACATCACGCTGAGCCATTTTGCACAACGCTACACCTTTTGTGTGTACGCTGTACCATTCCTGATTACGCTGAGTCTTTTCACGCAAAGCTACATTGTTTGTGGGTACGCTGTACCATTCGACATTATGCTGAGCCATTTCATCCAAAGTTACACCGTTTGTACGTACGCTGTGCTCCTCCGTATTACCCCTAAGTCATTGTGTACTGTATTGCAAATGAGTGCTAGACTATTCACAATTTAGCTGGTCCATTTCACAATTTCATGTTCCAACTCAACATGGGCAACTAGACCGTTTATCATTTGGCTAAACTATTTATGTTTAGGGTGTTCTGTTCTAATGTCTATCATTCGGCCATGCCATTCGTTTATTAGTTATGCTATCCTGCAGCTGATCCTTAAACCATCTTTGTATTTTCTGATCTATTTGACATCCTTGTATTTTCGGGGGTGACGGCGCCCATACAGCGCACTTTGCTCAAGGAGTTCATTACGTCGACACGGTTCAGAGTGACGAGGAAAATTCGGATCAAGAGGAATAAGGTGAAGAAGAAGTAAAAGAATGAGGAATTACGCAAGTTGATTTACATGACACGTGCAGCGAATGAGAGAGAATAGCTTTATTGTGTTAAAAACAAATGCTGGTTTAATCAAGTTAAGGTCCTACATTTTTAAGGCCAAAAACTGCTGCATTTATCAAATCTAACGATCACTTCACTTTAAGAAGTGACAAGCGAAGAGATTTCGCCAAAAGGCGAAACTTGTAACTCAGAGAAATCGCTCACCACTCTGTTTCGTAATCGCTCGAATGGATCGGCCTCATCTGATTCATTCGAGGAGTAGAACTAGCCTCACTGTCGTAAGGCTCAAACATATATTTGGTTAAGTTCCTTGAGCGTCTGCACACTCGATCACCGACGATGAATCCGAGAAGGAGCCACTCGAATCACTAGAGTCGGACTCTAATTACGATCGCTCGTATGTTTATCAGTTCTCCTTTCTACGTCATTGATCACGTGTTTAACTAGGAGCCATTTCAACTTCCGGTCTTTGAATTGAGTGAATTTCGCGCTTTTACACCAGAATTTTAATCAAATAAAAGGTTTTAGGGAACTTTTTCTTTTTCCTGTAGTTGTTTTGGCAAAAGATCTACATTTTAATTAAATGTTAAAATTTGGTGGAGAGTATCTCTTTAAGGCGACTTAAGCCCTTAAAGCGATTTTATTTCACTGAAGGGATAAAATCAAAGTTAGCAACAGTCTGTCCATAAACCTTAAAAATATTTACAGAGTCTCTTGCAATTTGTGTAGAGTATTTTAAAGGATTCTTATTTCGAGTATTTTTAGGTTTACCTTCTGTTTTATTAAGTCTCGCCTTTTTGCGCCTACGTGTTATTTTGGTAAATTTATAGCTTTGATCTTTTATTTTTAGTGTGTGCTTGAACTTGGCTCAGTTCGCGGATTTCCTTCTTACCGTGCTAGACATTTTAATCGCTTGTCATGGTTGAGAATAATTAGTTTCATAGGTGGTCTTGTTTGGGTTGGTAAAACTGACCTTTAGTTTTACCCACACTGAAGATCCTGTTTTCAGTGTGCGCGTGATTCTCGTGCGCAACACGATCATTGACGTTTAATTGGTTCCTTGGTACTCGCCGAGTGCTTCGGAGCGGGCCACCCAATTTTCCCCTTTTGCAAAACAACGAGTGCACTATGGAAACTCCCACGGTCAGCTAACCCGAACATGTCTGTGACTGATTTTTGCATTTAATACGTGGGCACTCCTTGCTAAAAGTAGAAGAAAAGATAGCGGCAGCAGACGGAGAAAAATTAGCAGTAGTAGAAGTAGCAGTAGAAGGGAATAAAGAAGAAAAGTACAGAGTCTTGGTACCTCTTGTTAATTCGTCCAAGCGAGTGCTAAAATCCCCCAACACAATAATCACAATATGATTAAGGAATTAATTAATAAAATCTTCCTTTAATTTGATCACTATGTTGCTATTTTCATGTTTCTAACTATCCCAGCCGTTAACTAGTTATGGTATTAGTACAAATAGAAAGTTTTTGTGAATCTCAGTAAAGGATAGGAATTTAGAGGGGGGAGGGTAGTTGTCAAAAGCCTTGTAGGGCTCAATTTGGGATTAGAACACAAAGTGTAAGTAAGGGGGGTGGTCAGTTTTTAAATTATCAGGTAAGTAGGATTTTCAATTCTGGGATGTTCCCCGCTTTTTCAATATTGTCCGCCTCCAAAACTTCCTCCCAGCATTCTGAAGCTAGAGCCAACTAAAGAGCTTGTTTGCGGCGCTCACGACAATCCCTGAATTGCACTTTCTGACAAATAGGCTTAAGTTTTTGCCAGCTGGAACGATAAATGCAAGGTGATCCGTCTTGATTAGCATCTTCATAGGGTTTATTGAATCGACAACGAATAAGCATACTACCCTGAGATATAGGAAATTTAAGAATTTTAACTCTGATCACTTTCGTAACGATATAGGTCAACAGGATTGGAGTAGTATCGAAAGCTATTCTGATCCTAATTTAATGTGGGCTGCATGGAAACAACTATTCCTGGAATGTGTAAACAAGCATGCCCCACTTCATGTAAAACGGGCGCGCGCCTCAAAGTCACCTTGGATTACACCTTACTTAAAGAAACGAATGCATGACAGAGATATTCTTAAATTGAAAGCATCGCGTTCTAAGGATGCTAATGACTGGCTACAATTTAAAAAATGTCGCAACCTAGTTAATAACGAAATCAAAAAAGCAAAAGAGCTCTTTTATAAAAGAGCATTAGATGAAAACGAAGGCAATTCGCGCCAGACATGGAGGATTGTAAATGAGCTCATGTCGAGGAAAACTAATAATTGTTCCATAAAAGAAATCAAAAGCAACGGTAACTCTATTTACGGCCCTCCTGAGCTGGCCGATGCCTTCAACAATCACTTTTCTTCTATTGGACCCAAGCTTGCTAGCCAGATTTATTCTAATAATGGTCCATCACACCTACATTACCTTGAGGGAACTGACAAACGTTTTGAGTTAAAATGTATTAATCCTTCTAAAGTGTTCTCACTTTTGTCTAAGCTTTGTAAATCGAAAGCCACAGGCTTAGATATGATATCTTCGCGACTTCTTAGGGAGTGCGCCGATCTGATAGCTGATCCATTGTGTTCTATTTTTAATCAGTCCATCAGATCAGGTGTTTTCCCTCAGGAATGGAAATGCGCAAAGGTTATCCCACTTTTCAAAGAGGGAGATCACTCCGACTTAAACAATTATCGCCCAATTTCTATCGTCCCTATAGTAGCTAAGGTGTTTGAGCGTATCATTTACGACCAGGTTTACGGTTATCTCACTGAAAACAATTTGATTTCCA